ATTCTTATTTCTATGTACAGACGTGCAATATTACCCTATCCAAAGCACATATTCGGAATCAGCACAACCTATTGCATCTCCTGATAATAGAAGGTACTCCTTTTGCATCTTGTACGAAACGAAAAAAAGGTCTAGTAGTTTAGATTACTACGGTCCGACATGAGACAACCTCAGTGCAGTGACATCGCTAAAAAGCGCTAAGCCTGAACAGACCTTCTGATTACATGAAAATGTTCCTCAGCCTATCGTCTATGTATGATGATCTCGTCTTTTTTACTAAGCTGAGTTATTGATTTACAAAAACCCATAAGGTTTTTGAGGTAATTCGCGTTTTTCTCCCCCATAAGAGCACTTTTTCTATAACATAAAGTCATATTCGGAATCACCGTGAAAAACTGCATCGAAGGGTATATAATTCATCTGGATTCGGTCCCTCGGTTCTGAATTCTATAAATTTCTTAGATTTGGGATTCACAGGAAGAACTTTCCGCTGAAAATTCAAAATTCAAGAGAGAAATCCTGGAAAGTCTGAAAAAAATGCTTCTATAGGTTATCGACGATGCGCTATCCAATGGAATACTTTTTCAGTTTAAAAACGTTTGTCAAAGGATTTTCCACAAATCCGGTCTCTGGAAAACCCACTGGAAAACTTTGTCAAAACTGGAAAAACATTCCATTGGAAAGAGAATCGTCGAAAACCTATAGAAAGTGGTTCAGATAATTTCAGTCCACTTATAAAGTTAATGTCCGCCTGTTGTAGCGAAAAATGCCCACACTGGCTTATCTTGAAACTCGATGTGCACATACATTGTCTTCTATAATGTCCACCCATGGTATGATCTGTAGAATACCTGACAACTGATCGACACTAGTTTTCACCTGTTGAATGGTATTAGCAGAAATTTGTCCACCTGGAAATTCTGACATTATTTTACTCTTTAACATTTCGTCGTAAACATCATTTAATGGTGTAATAACATCCACAAATTCAACCATACGTTTTAGTACATTAACTAGTGTATCAGATCGCCCGTTCATAGCTCCAAGATGAACTACAGCTTTATTCAGTTGAACAGTTATCATTGATGTATGACTTTGTTCTTTTTTTATCTCTTCGCGAATTAATCTCAGACGCTCTAGTCGAACGTTCAAGTTGTTTAACTTTGCATAAAAAGTAGTTTTTTGTATTTGAAGATCATTTAATTGTTGGCGGTAGCGTCCGACAGTTGTTTGTGCCAGTGACAATTCATTATCAGCTCTAGTACGTCTGTCTTTTGCAATCCTGATGCCACCAGAATTGAATACGCTACAAATTGGACGTACAACGATATTTTCAGCTGCCCATGTAAGCGGTTTCTTAACGACCCATGTAAGCGGTTTCTCAACGACCCATTTAAACGGTCGCGCCAATTCTTTAAAAAAATCACGTTTATTAATACAGTGTTTTGCATTGTCAACATCATCGTTCGCCTGCCTTATATTATTGACAGCTACATTAACATCATGCTCTTTCTGACGAACATTTGTTTCAGCTTGTGACAACTGATGTGCAGTTTCTGAAATACCGTCATTTGTGTTACGTATCTTCGCCTCAAGCTGAACTATCTCTTTTTCTTTTTCGTCGGTATCTAATACTGTTTGAGAAAATTTGTTCTTCAATATTTGATTTATTTGTTGACTAATGGTCAATGCTGTGTCAAGACCATCCTTTACATTTATTGCTTCACAATGAATATTTTTCGCTAATGCAACACGGGCTTTATTGCTTCTTTTTAATTCTTTGATATTAGCATGAATTAATGGGTTTAAAATTTTTTGTTGTAATACAACGTAGCCATTTTTATATGAAGGAATAACTTCAGACGACATAACATTTAAGTACCAGTTTTTCGATCCACTGGCGGCCGACAGCTGTACCATTTCATCATAACGTCGTTCAGCTTCACGTAAACGAGCCCGAGCTAATAAAGCTTTATACTCTTGAATTATTAATAAATCATTAATAGTCGACTCTGCTGTAAAATCGGTGGCAATCAACGACTCTTTTGTTGAATCACTGACAGCCGACTCTGATGTCAAAGCCGTGGCAGTCGACGACTCTTTTGTTGAATCACTGGCAGCTGAATCTGACGTCAAAGCCGTGGCAGTCGACGACTCTTTTGTTGAATCACTGACAGCTGACTCTGACGTCGAATCAATGGCGATCGATGTTTCTTCTGTTGATCTACTGTCAGTTGACTGCGACATTGAATCACTGATAACCGACGATTCTGTGAAATCTTCTTCTGAGTTGAACCAACCTGCAATATCTTTTGAATTCAGACGATCAACGAACAATAGCAGGAATATTATCAGAATAAATCTCATTTTTATTGTTTCAGTTTATGAGGAGTGAAGGGTTATCACAAAACTATGTTATTAAATATGTTAACTTTATAAATGAATAAATGAAACGTGAAATTTTCGTCAAATAATAAAGTGTCTGTTCTTAGAGATATACTCTTATATATATACTATTAGTTTGTTATATTGACCTAATTCAGTGACGATATCTATGACATCTAGGTCATACAGAAAGAGAGAGAGAGATGGAAAAAACCAAACACTATTATTTTCTTGTCTGTCTGTGCCAATATGACACAAAGAATATTTGTAATGGGAATTTCCCATGATGACAATCCATAATTTTTAATCTTTGATAAGTAACAACAATGTTATAGATATACGTATTTCATCTTCTTTCGCTCTTTTTTGTCGTTCTCTCCTTCTTTCCTTCTCAATTCGATGTAGAACATAAAACATAACTTTTATCCATATCACATAATAGCATTCGAATTCTGTACAATAATTCAGTTCAAAATATGATTATCCTATAAATTTTAATTTTATCCCATCCAAGTGATGATTCATTCATTCTTAGTAATGGTCGTTCAGTCAAGCAATCAGATATGACATCAATGTACTTTCTGTTAATTTTAACACTTTTATTAAACTTGGAATATATTTTGTTTAGGCATAACATGAAAAGTGTACTTTAATATTTTAAGGTACCTAGTTTTCGTCGATTTTCATTGTATTATGAATCATTTAACTATTTTCAATGAAAATAGTTAAAAAATGAATCATTTCTTCTGCTAAAGTTTCCCCAAGGGGGAAAAGGCGCACTCCGCCACTCAGCGGAGTACCGGAGTGGCTCGGAGTACCGCGGGCTTCAGAAATTTTATTGAACTGAACTGTTCCAGAAATCTGTGTTCCTACAAGCAGAACAAAGACGTTCTGTCTGTAGGAAAAGAATTCACAGAACAGAACACAATTGTCCCGTTACCTGAGAAATTTTCCCAAGGAAAGTATCGGATTGTTCTGTTTCGGGAATCGGATTGTTCCATTTTGGGGGAAGAATATTGAGAGAAATATCACTATTTTATTTTAAAAGAAAACAACGCACTTCGCCACTCCGGACCATTGTACGGAGTGCCGGAGTGCTATGGAGTGCGGTTTACTCCGCGGAGTGCGCTTTTTCCCCCTTGAGTTTTCCACTAAATTTCTGAATTTTTTTTCTAGAAATAAAGATAGCCACGAGACTGCATGATCAGTAATCTATATGTTTCCATCCAACATTCAAGTTGATAAGGGTTCTCAAAAACCGATCTTAGTAAACCCATTGTCACGGCTAAACGATGAAAAATGTGGGAAAATGGATTATTCCCGCTTTGAGGAGGATATGCTCTAAACTATCTATGCATGAAAGAAAAATCAATAAATTTATATCTGAACTTATTTTAGATTCTTATCTGGTTTTTCGAACGTTTTCTTTAGAGAGCCGCTTTAGAAATTTTGTTACAAATTTGTTTCTACTATGGTAAGACGATCTCAAGTCTCTTGCTTCAAGTCGCTAAAACCAGAACTGTCGAGCTTTTTTGGTTAGTGAGTTATTCAAAAACTGAGTTATGTGCAGCCAAATAGCATATCGCGTAGCCAGAATAGCCTGAACATCAGATTTCCCGTATATCCATAAGTATCTTTCGTCTTTTTGTGACAACCACATTACCCATCTACAATCTAATTCACTAAATCATAATAGTGGGTAACAATATGAAAATGACCGAAATATTCGAATTTTCTATTGTATTTTAAATTTTAATTTTTCGCAAGTTTTCTTTTATAAAAATCATATTGTATATTTAATTGCAACCGGGGATGCACCGGTATCTCAGTACACCGAATACCGAAAATATCGCACTTCCGTAATACCGAAATCGATATTACCGAACGTCAGTATTACCGATATCGGTGCATCCCTAATTGCAACGATTTTAAAATTTCTAGTCTTAATTTTATCCATTTTGTAAATCTACTTGAATTTTCGGCTAGACTTTTTTGTCGATCATTCACTTAACACATTTTTTTATGAAAAAATGTCGAAAGAAAATACAATAATAAAAATGAAAAAAAATAGTTTATTCTTCAAAATAATTATTCAAAGAAATAAAAATTCGATTATTTTTATGACCAATAAGTTACAGACGATGACGGGTAATTATTTCTTTATACACTGTATGTATGACAAGAAAAAAGTACTCAAACATTTTGATTAATGTTTATTCATTGAATAATAATAGAAGTAATTCAAAGTAATAATATGAATAGTAATTTCAGAATTTCACGATAAAGCATAGCATTTGTTTCAATTATATAGTTATCATTGATATATCTGCCTGAAAAACAAAATAGTGTGACCTCGATAGTTTTAAAACATCATTACTATAAATCTACATTTTTAAAAAAGTGATTATGTATTCTGATAGCGATCACAATTCTCTGCCATATTTTGCCATATTTTGAATTCAACTTATTTGCTGGAAAGTATTTCAAGCGCAGTGTAACCATTCTTATTGTCAGATACTCCGAATTGCATTTTCTACCACTTTTTCATTTATTTTTAAAATTTGTTTTGATTATAGAAATGACTTTCACAAAAATAATCATATATTCTGATAGAAATTGAACTTTTTGTCTGTCATCGTGTATTAATTTAAACTTTATTATAGTAGAAACAGTAATAAAATCTGGCTGTGCCCATTGCATGACAATGGGAGAGGGAGAGAAAGAGACAATAAAAAGCCAAAGCTGATAACACCTAAATTGTTCAGGTTCGATGCGAAACAAAGATTAGATGCCTTTTCTCGTCTACCTGGTAGAACATCTTTGTCTCCAAAGCAGAAGGCACTTGGTTTGAAGCCAACAATGGGGTATCTTCTCTGCGTCTGTTGTCGTTTCATTCCTCTGCATTATTCCTGAAAGTGATTGCTAGTCACGTCATTTGCTCACTTTTCACAAAAACAAAATGGTAAAGTTTTCTTAGATGAAAACAATAGCAGCAACAAACATTTCTGATAAAAATCAGCAGCTCCGAATAATTTTCTAATCAACAGTTATCAGAGTTTTGTTGGGCGCCCTAAAATATATTTTAACGACTCGAACGAAGACACTTGAGATCGGACTTACCATAAGAGAAATAAATTTGTAAAAGAACTTCGAAAGTGGGTTCTCTAAAGAAGAGTTTCGAAAAACCAGATAAGAGTTTAAAAAAAGGTGAGATATAAATCTGTTGATTTTTCTTTCATGTATAGATAGTTTAGAGCATATCCTCCTCAAAGCGGCAACAATCCGACTTCCTCACTTACCATCGCTTAACTATGAAAACGGGTTTTGAGAACCTCTAACAATTTGAATGTTGAATTTAAACATGCAGGTCATCGATCATGCAGTCTCGTGCCTATCTTTATTTCTAGAAAAAAACCTCAGAAATCTAGTGGGACTTTACCAGATGAAATAATTCATTTTTTTATTATTTTTTTATTGAAAATCAAAAGACTCATAATACAACCGAAATCAATACATACCAGGTACTTTAAAACATTAATGTATGCTCCAGGTAGACATGCGAGGGACCAGACATTTTTGGTCTTGATCCCGATAAAAAGTTTTGTTTTGTCTCTCCCATGTCTAGCTTCACGTTATATGTTAACAAATATACTCTGGAGTTTAATAAAAGTTTTAAAATCAGCAGAAAGTACATTGATGTCACAACGAATCGTTTGACTGAATGTGATTGACCATCTTTAAGAATGAGTCGTCGCTTGAATAGGATAAAATTAAAATTTACAAGATAATCATATTTTGGATTAAGTTATTATTGAATAGAGTTTCATGTTATTATGTGATATGGACAAAAGTTATGTTTTCTGTTCTACAGCGAATTGAGAAGGAAAAGAAGGAGAATGACAAAAAGAGAGAAAAAAGATGAAATACAAATATCTATGCTATTGTTGTTGCATATTTACGATTAAAAGTGATGACTTGACATCATGGAAAATTTCCATTGAAAATATCCTTTGTGTCATATTGGCACAGACAGACAAGAAAATAATAGTGTTTGGTTTTTTCCGTTTCTCTCTCGCTCTCTGTCTCTCTCTCTCTCGCTCTGTACGGTACACATAGGCCTTGAATTAAGCCACAACAACAGTTTAGCAGTATATGTTCGAGCAGGATAAGAGGATGACATATTTATTTATGCTACTGTTGTCGCATATTTACGATTAAAAGTAATGACTTGACATCATGGAAAAATCCCAATTAACAATATTGTTTGCGCCATGGTGGCATAGACGAGAAATCTGATGTTCAGGCTATTCTGGCTACGCGATATGCTATTTGGCTGC